GAAAGTGTAGAGTACATGACTAGGTGTTCACTATACTAAGATACGTAATTCTGTTTATCGGTTTATGAATTTCACAGGTTTTGTTATGGTTTATAAATTCAAATTTATGTGATTTTTTTTTTCGAAACGCTACTCCTCCTTCAGTTTTTATATGATTTCTAAAAAGCTTATAAAACTATTAAAAATATAAAATGCAAAATTCTAAGTACCTGTTTTTAATTTTGACAAACGGTGTTCATGGTTTCTAACAACTGTAAATTCTGTGCAATTCCGTCAAAATGCTACTCCTCCTACAGTTAAGGTCAGATTTCAATAAGACTTATTAAACAGGAATAGTATACTAAGATATACCAAGTACATTCCGGTAAAGCTACAGTCTTGGCAGAGATTTCGAGTTTCCTTAAAAATAATACTGGGGTAAAAACAACAACAACAACAAAAAAAAAAACAACAACAACAAAAAAAAAAAACAACAAACAAACAAAAAACTCCAAAATTTTCATTATAATAAATAAATGTATCATAAATTTACTACTGTAACAGTTAATGAGGTATCGAAGTTCTTACTGCACTTAGTAAATTTTAAAATATTTTACTCTTAGAAAACTGCAGTTCCACTGTACTCATTGTAAGTATTTACTTGTTTACTCTGGTAAACTGAACAATGAACTAAAGCTAACCATGTTTCCTATATGAAATGTTACACAGAACAAAAAGAATTCTTTTTTTTTTTCAGGAGCTTTCGAGGAAAGAAAGTAATTTTTTGTTTTTTGATATATTTTTTTCCTTATCTTTTTTCATTATCTTTTTGTCGCCCGCGTGGCGCAGTGGTTAAAGCGTCTGCTCTAGAGTCGCGGCGTAAGGAGTTGATCCTTAAGTCGCGGGTTCGAATCCCACTGTGGGGCGTGGAGACCGGTCCTTCGGATGAGACCGTATAAACCGAGGTCCCGTGTCGCAGTAGGTGCTGGCACGAAAAAGATCCCTCACTGCTCAATGGCAGTAAGTGCCGGGTATAGGACAAAATTTGCAGCTCTCCACCGGCAAGTGGTGGCGTCTCCATATGAGTGAAAAATTCTCGAGAGGGACGTTAAACAACATACAAACAAACATTATCTTTTTTGGGGTGGGTGGGTGGTTTAAGTAAATAAAGAATATTTTGTTTTCTAAATTATGCATGAGTACAATAAACAAATGCTTCTTATAAAGATGAGGTATGTAAACTGTAACTACATGTAATTGAGATATGAATTTTATAGTTCACCTTGTTTTGTTTGTTGTGGATCAGGTGAAATATTCCGTCGTGTTTATATCAAAACATAATGTTTAATACGTTTTTTTTTCTTTTTTTGTAGATGATGATGACAAGATACGAGACGATTTAATGGAATTTATAAAGTTGTGTCGCATGTATGTAATGCATAAAAACAAAAAGGATACTTAGTGACAGAAATGAAAAATATTCAACATCTATACTAAGTTCCTCTTAAAACAATAATTTCAGTTATGAAAACGCAATAAAAACAGTAAAACTCCTACCATATTCATGGCTATTTGCAATATTTGTTTAATGATAAAGAGGAGTGTGGGGAAAGATAATATTGAATTCTTTTAGCTAACCTTTTTGGTGCGACCTGACAAAAGAATTAATTTTTTTTTTAAATTAATGAAAAAAGTACAACTTCCTTACATTTATATAAACAAAATATTACAGATTTACAATGTTTACGACAATTATATTACATAATGTGTCAATAATGTAAAGATAATCATGTTTTAATAATTAAAAAATTTAAATTTTTACGATATGCCAACATATAAAACCTTGTATAAATTTTAAACACCGTCAGAGGATATCTGGTTTTGTCTAAGATTTTAAAGTATAAAGTAAAGTATATAAAAATTATCTAAAATTTCAATCACAATCTATTCCTCTTGTTGATAAAAAGTAACTAAACCTAATAAAAATACTACTCTAGTATTTAAGTTTTTATTATAGTAAATTAAAGGTTTTTTCGTACTATGAGTTTCTAATCTCTATATTTCATTTTCTCCACATCTTACATTTGAATTTTTAATTATATATTAAAAGGAAATTATTTGTAATTGTCTTTTTTCATTGCTGTGTAATTAAAAAGCTATTTAGGCCCTAAACCTATAAAAAATGTTCTAAAGTAAAGTTCCGTAGTGAATAAAAGTATCAAAGTATTTACTAAAAGTTATCTATAGTAAACTTATAGTTAATATTTGTTAGTCTTTTCCTGTCTTTGAGTTACTTGCTGTAAAGACATTTTAACATTTATGTTATTTCAGTTTCTCAATACGATCAACAAAACTCCATCTTATTTTTCATATAATAACATACTCAAAAAAATATAGGTTGAGAGTTTATATTGCAGCAAAAAAGATAAATATTGAAATAATCCTTACGATTATTTCTGGACTTTTTCACTTATAGAAATGCTGCTTTCTCTTGTAGATGAAGTACAGCAACGGCCTGTGAGAACGATGATAAAAGAGAATACTTTTCTAGTTACCTGTAGCCGTCTTCTAATAATTACAATAAACCAATATTTGCTAATTTTTTAATAATGAATTTCATAAGAATAAATATTTATTTGCAGGTCATGAATTCATAAAATGTATGGTAAATTGTACAACCGTTTACTACATGTATATTTGAATTCAAAATCGTATATTGCCTATGCGATTTGTATAATTTGGGTTTATATTTTATGCCCTTCCCCCTTTTGAATAAAAGGCATATTATCTTGCACCTGTCGATCGATAGAGCAGTTATTGCCCGAACAATATCTTGAGACCCGTTGCCTGACAGATTTCAAACTTCTTATGCTGATACCCCTAAGGAATACATGAATCTTTTTGATTTGGGGGTCTCAAGATCGAAAGTCAAGGTTTAGACATCCTGAGAAAATATATGCAAGGTAGATATAAAACTTCACCTTTAGGAATAAATGATCCTATTGATTTTGAGGTCACAAGGTCAAGGGTCAAACTTGACACAAGAACATATAGTATGAGAATCCTTTGTTTGACAGATATCAAACTTGATACACTGATTGTCATTGAGGGGATTTTGAGGTCACAAGGTGAACTGGACATAGAATTATACTCGAAGTGATTACTTTGAGAATCCTTTGCTTGACAAACATCAAACTTAGCACACTTGTTCTCCTTTATGGAATAGATGACCCCTATTGAACTTGAGGTAACAAAGGTAAAGGGTAAAGCTACTCTGAATCTAGGAAGATCATAAGATGTAAGATCAAAAGTAAAATTGGACATAGGAATATATTAATTGCTCAGTATCTTAAAACCCTTTGCTTGACAGACATCAAACTAGGTACGCTGGCTCTCCTTAAGGATTTAATGTCCTTTTAGGTCAAGGGTGAAATTGGAAATTGAAAGATATTAAACGCTCGATATCTAGAGAGCCTTTAATTGCTTAACAGACATCAAACATGGTACATTTGTACCCCCTGAGGATTACATCTCTCAACACTTCCTTCTCAAAAGTTCTGAAATTCTCAAATTTTAATGAATGAGGATCGGTATTCTTAACATTTTGACAAAGTAACAGATAAAGGTACAATAATTGAAGATGCAATATCTCATCACAATTTTTGTTTACCAAATGACGGGTCAAACATTTATCTGCATCTGGACAAAGATTCATATTCCTCAATAGATATTAATAAAGCGAATTAGATTTAAGTTGGTCTGTAAATGATTCGTGCGCAAGCGATCATATATCATTTTTGGAGGAAATGAACCATCAGCAAATAATCGTTTACAAAACTGGAAACCGAACAAGGCTTATTTGATTCAATAGGAATATTTATCTCTTCAAAATATTTCGGCTTAGCAATACCTCTTCAAAAATTTTCTGAAATCTTTTATATAAGGTAATGAAAGTATACTTAAAATCTGGACAAATTCTACTTAAAATAAGAACCATGGCTATTAAAGCTGGAAAAAGCAGACAGACTACATTGTAACAGTTACGAAATTCAACAAATTAGCCTTTTTTTTTCATATTCAGAGCAATGAAAAACGCACAATTCTAGCCTGAAGATATTTTACTTGAAAGCTTCAAAAACAAGCACTACACACAAATAATGCACATGTCTTTATTTACATGTATGAAAATTACGTGTTCAATGTTAATTTAGCATTGAGGCCAAATTTATAATGTTTGTTTGCCCTCTCCCGACTCAGGATGTGAAAAATGGGTTGGTAGGTATGTAGGCAATTTCAATGATGCATTTTCCACATCTATTTTCCGCAATGCATAAAAAATAATTGCTTCCTGGAGGTTAAAACAATTTTTAAATCTGGTTATTTTTAGCCAGTCGGTCGGGGTAACCAACAATTTTTCAAAATTCTGTTTTTCATTAAATTTAGAGCCTTGCTAATATACTAATATATGACGTTATCATTTTGTAAATTTATATGTACGTTAAGATTTCTGGTATCATATACAATATTTCTGCTGTTTGTTTGATCATATCCATTTTACATTCATCACTAGTACTAGATTTAAATTCTCATCACAATCATGGGTACGTGCATGTAATTAATCAATACACTTGACTATTTGAAAAACAGCAGTGTAACATGTAGTAAACAAGGGAACCACTGAGTGGAGCATTCCCTCAAGGCAAAAAAAAACACATCCATCCCGATATACATTATTGCTTGCGTAACGTCAGTTACGCAGGCAACTCATTCGCTCACCCACACTTATACAAACGCTTTACTATATCCTCTCCAACTTCGTTACGAAGGGATATTCTGTGATAACAAATACACAGAATATTCCTTCCATTAAATAAACACTATACATCACTAACTATACAAGTTAAGTGTACAAAGCTTACTAATAAATGTTTGAAAGGATATATACAGCTATGTCAAAGAAAGAAAGATCAGAAAGAATTGTCAAATTCAATATCTTTGATATCTACTGGCGTTGATATTACCAGATCCTCCACTGGATTTGAAATGATGAAGAGGTGCGTGCGGAACGTAGGCTTTTCCAGTGTAGGATAATGAAGAATTGGCATTGTAATGAGGGTCTGTGGTTGGTTTTCCCGCCCAGACGAGGTCTCTCCAGTTCCTGATTGGTTCAGTGATTTCTTGTTGATTTTCTTGATGTTTACTCCTGTTTAATATATAAAACAAAATATGCGCATTAAAATTCATACCCGTGTCAAGAATTTGCCGATAAAACAATAGTCACTGCGTTAATCGCCTTTTATTTGAATCGTTACTGTAGTTCTACCCCTCAGTTAAAACGAATTATCAATGTGTAGCAAGGAAGACATTGAGCCCCGAGTAGGGCAAAATTATGCATCAGACTTTTTATACAGTTCATTTCAAATGAGATGTCTACCTTAATTTTTCTCCGATTGTTCAATCTCCTAATTATAAAACCCAGGAATACTTACGATTTACTACATTTTCTGGCTATCAGCCCAATGATTATCATTATTAATACAATTCCAACAATAGAAGTAGAGGCTCCGACAATCAAATAGGTATTTTTAAGTTTTGCTGGAGTCGATCCTTCTTTGGTTTCTATTGTGTCGATTGATGTCGTAGTATCGACACGTTCAAAGGAGGTTTCTTTATCTTCCGTGGTTGATGTACTTACAGTTGATTCGGCTTCGCTGATTGTTGTAGTCGGAGGTGCAGTTGATTTGCCATTGGTACTTATTTCCGATGCTGTTGGTGATTCGGAAGTTGATGGTAGGGAGGAAGTCAGTGTTTCTGTGTTACTTGTAGTTGTCATCTTCTCTGTAAGTGACGGGTTTGTAGTTGATTGCGATGTGATTGGGTTTGTTGTTGTTGTTAAGTTTGAAGTTGTTGTTTCTTTGTTTGTTGTGGTTGTCCTTTTCGTAGTTGATGTTTCCATTATCGTCGATACTTTCGTTGTTGAATCAGTTGTCGATATCACTGTACTTGTATCAGCAGTAGTATCTGATGTATGTTCCGTCATCTCTGCAGCCTCAGTTGTTGTGACAGATATACTTTCTGTCGTCATTGTCGACGTTAGTGTTGTTGATTCAACAGAAGTATCGGACACCCAGGATGTTTGTTCATTTTCTGTAGTCGTGATTGAAGGGGTTGTCTCGGAATATGTTGTTTCGTCTTGTTCAACAGTCGTAATAGAAGTTGTAGTCTCTTCTATTTGTTCTGTGGAGATCATCAATGTGGATTCTGTGTCTGTGCGGATCATTGTTGTTGTCATACTTTCTGTTGTTGTTTGTCCACAGGCTTTAGTTAAAAAAAAATATTTTTATTGCTTAACTATACACAGTAAATAATTTATTAAAGGAAATCGAATTACATTAATCTCCATACAGAACAATAGGAAAATGAGAATTAAGTACTCCAATAAGAGACTTGCATTCATTTTCTGTCCAGTTGAATTTATCATTCGTTGCATTACAGTAAAGACACTCATTCGTGGAACTATTCTGCATGGGGCTAATGCATGTGCTATCGATGTAACAAAAACTTTCCTGTAAATAACATAAAAATGGGATTTTTCCTGTTGAAAGAATTTTGAACTTTTCAGATAATAATATTTGCATGCAAGACCAAAATGACTTTTAAAATACCAACATGTTTTCAGGAAAATAGGTAAAGAAAAAAAGCATTTTTTCTAAAATCATTTTATTTGACAGACAACGGTATTAATAGAGAAGTACACATAGTGTGAAAGATGTGGGAAAAAAAATAAAAAGAGATCAACTTACCTTTAAGGTAAAATACACATTTCCGGATTCATTGTGGTACTCCTGACAATGAGACTGATATATAATAACCTGATACGTGTGTGTGAAACGTACTCCGTCATTGGAAATGTTGAATTTGATTTCAGTCGACCAGATACCAGATGTGTCATATGGAAGAGGACAGAATCCCTCAAATAAGGTTCTCTCTTGTAAATTTATTTGTCTCTTTTGCTCAATTTCTTCTGTTTGCTTAATATCATTCTGAAAGAATATTTTAAGAAAACTTAAATATTGCTAAAAAAAAATAAGTATGCCATTAGCTTGTCATATGAAGCATTACATTAATGTTGATGGATTGATTGTATAAAGTCCCATTCGAGATATTTTCACTCATAGAGAGATTTCACCATATACCAATGAAGATCTTCAAATTTTGACCTTTACTCGGCCCTCTGGGCTATTGAGCAGTGCGGGATTATTATCGTGCCAACATCTACAGTGAGACCGGGCCTCGGTTTTTAATGTCTTATCAGAAAGACCCGCAACTTTCACTTCAGAGTGTCGAGATCTTGGAGAAGGAACGGTTGCTACTTATTTATCTTCTTAGGTCTAACGCGGCCTGGGCTTGAAATCACGACCTTCCCACCAGGACGACAGCCATCTGTTGATTGAGCTAACTTAATATCTACATAATCATTATTCAGACTGACCTGTTTCACGGTAAGATAACATATCGAGTCCATGTTTTCAAAGAAATATTTTCCCATTATGGTGGCCTCTTTACAGGTTGTAGTAGATAGATCACACAAACCAGCACCGGGGACACTTGTTATTATAGGAGGGCCGAGTAAATCAAAGGAACAGTCGCTCCCTCCAAAGTTAGCGTCACATGTACAGTTTCCTAAGAAAGGGGGAAACCAAAAACGTGTACATTTTATCTACATGTAGGACGACTCATGATAATAAAAACATATACAGTTCTGCGAAAATTCTTTGTTTTCGAAATTTTGAGAAATTACAAGGTTATCTGTTTGAGTTACTTTATCTCATTTTTTACCCGTTCGATTTTCGTATGTTCATCTTCTTTATTTTCAAGTGAAAACATTAGCAAAACAATTCCTTAATATTGTATGATCCAATGAATGCATTACCCCCATCACAAGTGCCATGTCCGGTACAGTTGCTTGGACAGAGGTTTTGTATTGTATAGGTAACTTCCGGTTCCGACTCTTGGAGTGTGGCATTCAAGAGTACAAATGTGGAACATTGCTGTAGAGCGGCTTCGACGTGAATCTGCGTTAGGTTATCATCGCCTGTCATCTGAAAACCGATTTAAACATTGAATTTGTTCAATTCAAACTTCCTTTATGCAAAATAGGTCACAATTTCAGTACAATTAATTGATACTAGAACACGTCATTCTGCAGTATACGTCTCAAATGAAATGTATTGTACTTTCATATAACTTACTCTTATGTCTTCAATACAGTTGGACAAGGTTACATTACTAAGGTCGGTCACATATTGTTGGCAGGTGTTGTATTCCGGTGAATTTTCAAAAGCTTGTAGACAAACTCTCTCGGAGTATTCATGCGACTGTAGGTAGGAAATCGTACGTTTCTTTCTCTGAAATAGTTAAATTCAAAACGTCTAATCAAGATATAACTTTCAGCGTGTGTTCCAAAGAAATTGCTCCTTATATAATTTAAAGCAAGCATGGTCTTTCAAGATGAATATTGTTTTTCGATCTATAAAAAAATGGATCTAGAAATTTTATTAGGTACCGGTAAATACACTTAAGTTATTTCAACATATAATTGGAATAGATTAATAATTGCATACAATTAGAAGATCTCTTTGCATGTACATATCGGACACATCCCGTTTACGTCTTCTGTTTTGTACAAGGTCTACGTTACATTCATATTGTTTGCCTCGGTTTGAGTTGCAGGGTGTAAACGTGTTGTAGGAGCATTGGGTCTTGCCACTTTCTGTGCATGTACAGTGAGGAACAAGAATGGTCGACACAGAGAGCAAACTGCTGTAGACTACAGAGTCACCGCGAAAGAGATTTTCGTTGTCCTGAATCCTAAGTATCAGAAAGGCATTTTATATCAGATTTATATGTACAGTTAAACTATAAAGTGTAAGGTTACGAACGGTCATAAATTACAGTTAAACAAAAGAATATATAAAATGTTTTAAACCCAAATATTGATACTTACTTCCATGACTCGGAGAAACCATTAGGATGTCTCAATCCGATGTCATCTGTAATAGTACTGTTTCGTCTTCTGAAGTCGTTTTCCCTAACACCATCAAAATATCCACACAAACCATCAGCATTTCCTATATCCATAGCAGAGGGGAGAATTTCAAGGTCAATGATATAATGTCCACTCCAATCCATGATATAAATAGCCAGTGATGTACCAGTGGGAAAATAAACCTGAACATGCCAGTATAAAATGATAATAAAAAATCATCAAAAACATAAAATCTATTTATATGTATCTGTGTATTCTAAAATGCACCAATTTTTATAGGATTCAGACCAAAACTATCAGAAGAAATGCGTTTTGAAAATGTAAAAAAAAAAAACAATTCTTATTTTCGTAACCAGTGTCAGCAGCACTTAAAATCAGAAAGTTCAAACGTAAACTTTTACGTATTAGGTTTGTTAGGGACTGACTACAGAAACATATCGGGTTGATCAATCGCATAGGCGGCGATGCGGAGCTGAACAGTCTATGAGATTGATCAGCCCGATATATTTCAGTAGACTTTTCGAAATAAATCTAATAATTGATTTACAATAAATTTCTCAAGGAAAATAGAGAGACATTTACTCATGACAGGCCCGAAGAAACCTTTATCATGGCGGGGGGGGGGGGGGGGGTGCAGCCACTAAAAATGACAATGAAAAATACATTTACTGCCGAAACTCGGGTGGGTGTAAATTGCCGTAGAATCTCTATCTATTTTTCCCCTACTCTCACTGAAAGTGGGGGATATTAAATTGGGTATGTCTGTCCGTCTGTCTGTATTTCTGTATATCGTAAATCTTTCGGTTTGGGACGATATCTAAAATAGTCTTTAAGCTTTTGCAATGAAATTTTGTACCACAACTTGCTATGGCCTAAAGAAGACCCTTGTTTGTTTTGAGGTCTAAAGGTTAAAGTTCAAGGTTATAAATTCATACATTACTAATAACATTTTTAAGATGATAACTTTAGTTTTCTTTTTCAAAAACAACATCTAATTATCACTCCCAATTAAGGGGTACAGGTAGTCTTCACCTCAATGAGTAAACCTGCAATAAATGTATTGGAGGAAAAATGCCCACCAAAATTTTATTTAAAGGCTCTTTAAGACATCTCTCTTAAAATGTCGTTTTAAGAAAGATTAAAAAAGCTATATACTATTTTACACGATTTTTTATTGTTGTATTTGGTTTTTAATTTTTTTTTTTTACTATTTAACATGATTTTTTGTATTTATTTTTTTTTCAGATGAAATTTAAAAAGATATTTTTTCTGTAGATTGCAAAATTTAACAAATTTTTTTTTTTTTTTTTTGTAAATAATAAACATGCTCCATTTTCAGTTTCATGTACTGTGCCGTTTTGTTTCTATTTAAAATTTTATATACATTTTAAAAATATATTTTATAAAAATATTTATTCTATAAAAGAAAATACCTCTTCGGTGCCTATGATTATAGTTAATATATAATCAATAAAACTGTGCTTTGCGCAATTTCGTCAAGTTGTAAAAAAAATTGTAACACAGGTAAACTCTACCTGGATCACTTAGAGGGCCTCCTAATTCAGTGTGATAATTTAATAGTTGTTTTAGCGAGTAGACGTTCGGGGAATAAACCAGGTCATTAATTTATAAATTTTGTTCGTATAACCTTTTTTTTCCAAACTATATCTTTAAAAGGCTTAAAGATTTTGCAATGAAATTTTATATCTGAACTTTCCATTGCTTTAAAAAAAATATAATGATTTTGAGGTCCAAAGGTCAATGTCAGAAATAACTACTACGTACAGTGTACATAGTATTCATATGATAATTTGGGTTTTTCTGTAAGCTTTTGCAATGATTCTATTGGTCATGAATTTCTATGAAAGACTCGTAGTGACTATAAGGTCAAAGCTTGATCTATTTTCTTTCTCATCTGCAAAATGTTTCTTGTTTTTTTTTCTTAAGCGGGGGACACAGTTTCTCTGAATTAGTTTGATAGTTTTATTTTAATATGAAAAACGACGCACTAAACTCCCTATTGCAACACAATGTAGGGGTGCACATCCTTCGAGCGACATATAATCTGGGGTTTGCACTGCGTTAAAATGATATAGAATCTATGATGAAAACACAACAAATTTGACATCGTTGTTTTAAAACTACTCTAATTCAAGAAGAAAACATTATCGAAAGTACTTATTAAATGATTTATAATATCAATAAGTACAAACAGACACATGGGCGGACCACGGCACTTAAAAGTATTTTTTCCTAAGCTTTAAAGTAAGTGTTGGTATTTATAACAAATTTTATTTTATACTTGTATTTTTATTCTTTCTTTGCCTTCTTTATTCATGATCTGATTTTTCCTTTCCGATACTTCCTTCATTATTTACTTCTCCATATGCTCCAGGATTTAAAACAGTACCACCCGACTATTTATACTGCTTGGGAATAACACTTTGACTTTGCGTTTGTGATGACTTGTTTTTTTTAATGACAAATCAATTAAAGAAAGGCAATAAATTGCGATAACTTTTTGTCGGACAGAAATTGAGATTTGCAATAGATAGATAGATAGACTTCTGAAGGCAGAAGCTTGGTTTAGGATGGGTGTTAACTTTAATTTTATTTTTGTAAATCCTCTATTATCGTGAACCCGTGTTAAAGTTTTCAAAAACTGCAAGAAATACAGAATACATCACCCCTGTATATGCTTTGAGAAAAATACTTGTCATGCTGATCATTAAATCTCTCATCAACAATCGTGTTTATTTAAAATGCGTACGCCATGCTGTATTAATTACTTCTTATTTATTAATACTCTATTTTTTTTAAGTGTCTAAATGCAAATAAAAATACAGATTTTGGACCATGGCGCAGCTCGTTTGACCATAGCGCATAAACCTAATCAGGGTGGGCTGTCATTGCACAAAACCCTGTGGAGAACTTTGACAATAAATAACATGTTCATAAAGAAATGCATCCATAATCATACTTCGTAAGAAATCATATATCATTATCAACCTACATGAATCAAGTGTACTCTAGTTAGGTGATTGAAAATTTTTCCCCCGACCTTATAGTATTTGTCGTGGATTTTCGTGACTTTCAAAACATTGTCCTCACAAAGCTCATAGCTGATGACTTTATTTTCTCCACACAAATCTATGACGAAGACATCTCTTCCGGCTCTTGCTGCGACTGCGCAGACACACCAAGGACCATCGTATGATGGGATACATAGGTGATGTTTAGACTGAATCTAAAATGTAGTTCATAAAGTGTTAAAGAAAAGGTAAAAAATAAACTCACTTGAATATACACTGGCCTCAAATTCTAAGATGTGCATAATTTACGAGACTCCGTCCTTTATATACCAGATCAAACAAGTATCACTTTAAATTCACATTTAAGTCTCAAAAATATTTAATTAAGTTATTCAAAAATTAATTTAGTCACTGTTTTTTTTTTAAATAGAACATTTAAATTCGACCAGACTTACCCACTGTAGCTGATGTTGATTTCGATAATTTATAAATTCTCCAGGTATCTGGCATTCGTATGGTCTGTAGGGAGAAAAGGGATTAAACTTATTAAGTTTTGAGGCTTTGTTTTATGTTTATATCTGTATATATATTTAATTATTCTTCAATTATCATATCGTGCAATAGCAAATGTGATTATATAGTCATTTAGTAAAAATAATTACATACTTCAATGTGTGTTATCTTTAAAATTCTAAGTTACCTTTTATTAAGATATCTGTCTTATTCATTATTGAATGACCTTTTCTCATATGTAAGAAATTTGCATTCCACGTTCCTTTATAAATGTATACATACATGTAATATAATAATGCTTTAAACCAATATAAAGACATAAAAACACTGAACATTTTTATGCACTTTGGAAAGGACATTACCTTAAACGTTTAACAGTTAATCCCTAACAATGAAACGGTCAGAATTAGCATCCTCTGCAAGATTGATTGTAATGTATGCATTCATATATGCACCATACCTCAATGTACAACTAATAGTTTTAAGGAATCGACCCTTCTTCAGAACTTCGTACGAATGATTTATGCAATATTCCGAAACATATTTGCAAACATATATATATATATATATATATATATATATATATATATATATATATATATATATATATATATATATATACACACCCTAGGACGTGAAAATCTCTCTACCTTGTAGTTTATGGTTACATTACTTAGTTTTATTTCTTAATGTTATCAATTAATTGAAAAAATTGTTTTTGTAAAATGGGTTATGAAGATTGTTTAAATATTACATTTTTTTCTTACTTTCCGTCAAAAGTATACATATGCGGATCTGCTCTAACACCACATGATCTGCCTTTCCATTGTTCATTTCCTTCTCGAACTCTTATCTGTAACATATTCTCAAATCATCTTTGAAATGGTAGTATAAATTTTAAAATGGTAATATAAATGTTAAACGGTAATGATGATTGTGAAAAACACAAAAAAGTCAGATATATTATTTCCTGAGAAAAAAAGCATTTCTAGGGAATAGGTGCATTATTTTATTACAAAAGAATATAACATACACAAATCACTATTATCATTAACTTCACTTTGCACTCATGTATTTAAGTTTCAATAATATATTGGGGTTTTTTTTCGAATCGTCATTGTTTACAGCATTATTTAAGAATATCAGTAATTGTTCAATCTATTTATAGAGTTGAACTAAAAGTATACCGAAATGTCGGGCAAAGACACATGCTCGAATATTTTACTTCCAACACCATTAGTGCCCCCAGTCTTTAATCGTAGAGTCATCTGACTGTTGATGACGTAACCATCAGTGTCCTGGCTATAAACCGGAAATGAAATATTTTGCTTCCATTCGTCGTTTTCATACTTGTGTCTTTCGTTGTAGCTATAGCTTTTTACTTTGACTTCGCACTGATTAGATGATCCTCCACCACTGCATTTTGAGGGATCGTCCGTTTTAAAGGTCATATGAATATTCAAGTCACTCACTGTTTGAGGAACACCATTAATAAAAAGCGATTCCGATGCAAATGGAATTGTCATCTCTAATTCGACATTCTTCGATCCTTTTCTTTCTAACTCAATGTTTGAATTCATTATCTTAAAAAGGAAATGTGTTTTTACTGTGAACATATATAATATAAAGGTAAATATTTTCCATTCGGAGAATACTGAATTTCATTTTTAAATGAGAAACCAATTTAAGAACGATTTGAATGTTTAAGCATCTCCCCAATAATCTACCAAACTTTGGTATTGCATATATTACCTTTATTCCAGCAAAAAATGGATTTCCAACTTTGAAAATACATGGAAAGTTTTCGTTTTTTCGTTTTGCACCAACTTTGCAGTGTACCTTACACAAGAATAAAAAAAACCCCGTATATTTAATAGGAATGGTTTATAACTTATTATATTTACTCTTATTGACATAATTAATTTACATTAAAGACTTCCTCCGTTTCATTGACATATATCTAATATAAACAAATATACGTTAACACAAAACACTTATTTTGCAACGATTTTCATTCAATTAAAAAGAGTACTAGACTAGTTATAAATGATTAAATATAAGGTGTCTTTTTGCTAATCATGTCTGCAAAGCGTTATTCCTAGATGCTGTTAAAGAAACAAAATTTTTAATGATAAAAAATACTAACTTCAATTCCTATCTTTTTCTCCGCTTTCAAAATATCATGAGCTGTTATCATTGCTGTATAATTACTGGATTTATCAACAGTTTGGTTTACAACTTCCCGTCCATCAATAAACCAAATGATGTCATATAATAAATCTTCGTCGGATTTCAAACTGAAGTTGCAGAGAAAAGTTACAGCTGGGTCGTATCTGATAATGTTACTGGATACATGTTTTTGCCATGTCATATTATGGTATGAAACGGATACATCTGATGGTGCCCAATCAATACCTGTTTCGGAGGCAATTGTACAAAAGCAATTATAACAAAAAAAGACTATGATAAAAAAGTGCAAAGTTCAACAAATGCAATTCAGCTGTGCTATATATATAAATAAAAATGAACGCTTTACTCACAAAAATCCGTGTCAACTGGAAAAAAAAGAACTGAAATGCGGGTAAATGTATTCTTTTGATGATATCATAATAAGAGCAACATGCATGTAAATATGAAAACTCAGGTAAATAAATAAGGCTTTTCAGCCGCAAACCTTTGTCACAAGTATCATTTATCCATCCTTGAGCACATCCTCCCTGGCAAGTTCCATTATATCTGTCACATAGGTACGGCGTTATGCAGTGACTGCTACATTGCTGTGAACAATCACGTCCATACCAACTTGTATTGCAAGCTAAAATTAAATAATTATTTTTTGTTTGTTTGTTTTAAGTCCCTTTCGAGAATTTCTAACTTATATTGAGACGCCACCAGTTGCTGGTGGAGGGCTGCGAATTTAGATCTATACTCGGCACTCAGGGCCATTGAGCAGTGAGGCATCTTGTTCGTGCCAGCTAAATTCTGCGACACGGGACCTTGGTCTATACGGTCTCATCCGAAGGACCGGTCTCCACGTCCCGCAGTGGGATTCGAACCCGCGACGTAAATATCAACTCCTTACTCCCCGACTCTAGAGGTAACGCTCTAACCACTGCGCCACGCAGCGACTAATTATCAAGGTAACGATTTCATTAATATATATCAAGAAGCTGTTGCAAAACTAGTTACATGCGATCGAAGGGTCTTGCACTCACGTCTTATTAGAAGAGAATACCAAAATGCTTCCGGTAAGCTTGTCTATTTTATCAACGCTCAGCTAAATTTGCAATGTATACAGTACAAAGGTTTTCTATCGGGAATTCACATTATGCCGCTATTGTGCACAGCTTGTTTTTTCCTGATATTGCTTTAAAGTAGATCAACTTTAAGGTCAAGTATACGGAGTCAAAAATAAAAGCAGATTGGAAAGATCTCACAGATAATGAAAATATGAAATATGCAAACCCTATACAAAAGTTATGACCGAGGTTCAAGTTTTCTTGACAGACTTACAGACGAATGAGATTTAATGTCACCTATCTTTCGCGAAAGCGGGGGACAATAAGAAGACAAAAGGAAGAAACGCATAGTTAAAGTTCAGTGACACATTAAAACACAGAAGTTACTTAACAGTCGAATGATGTAGTGATAACGAAGAAATGAGGCAAAAAAAAAGGTGTATAATCAAAATGTATAAACTAAAGAAGAACTACGCACGCTAAGTCTCGATTCCCGCCTACATTGTACATCCATTTAATTCAATACTAATGGCAATTTAACCGTAAAATTTTTGTTGAATGCAAAGAACAGTTCAATGGTAATTGACTGATAATTTAAATGCCAATGTTAAATAATTAATTATTCCTAATTTGAGGTCTTAAAATAAGGGGGGGGGGGTTAGACGATATTTTCCATTGAAATTGGGCTTTAAAGCATCAACACATATTAAGATATTCTTGGATATGAATAAATTTTCCTTAAATCTTTTCTTGTGTTTTACGCATATAAAATTAAGCATATATTATTAATAAAATACAATGTTTTAGTTGTAAAACCCTTTGAAATTGGTGAAAAAATAAGCATTTTTGTTGTTTTTTGTCTGTAAACATATGTTCCCCCCCCCCCCCCCGTGAAACACAAAAAGCTTTGGTATGAATTTGTGAAATGACAGTCCATATTACCTGTAAAAAGGAACTTTTCTTTCACTGGGGGGAAAGATGTTTTAAAAATATTTTCCGTTTTCCATTGATTTCTATAGTTAAAAACACAAGTTTTACCCAAATTATAGAGTTATCTCTCTTTGTTTTCCCAAAGAAGTAATGTTTTATGAAAATTCATATAAATATTTATATAAATATGAAAAATCATTCAAATGTGTTAACTTTTGAAAATTGACTTGGAGGTAGGCGGGAGAACAATACTATCGTTCGCAGTTCTTTTACAATCATAGATAGTTCAAGGTCATTTAAGACCAATATCTGGTATGCCCCTAACAGACAACAATGATGCCCTAAAACATCATCCATGAACCTAGTTCAGTGTATAAAAACAATATAGGAATTCTATTCTACACTAAATGTAGAGCTTTGGTCAGCCTGTGCAGTCTGAAGTTTCAGTTGTCTTTGGCAGATATGTCTACCCATAAGGCATGCTCAGTGGGGTTTTAGATGGCCAAGGCATAACTGGTTTTTCAATATTGCGCTTGTCAGACAAGCTATATGTGGTTTGGCATTGTTAGGTTGAAATACGCCTCTAGGATGCTGCATTATTGAAAAAAAATGTGCAGGTAGGGCATCGTCGGGTTACCGTCGTTCCATCAAATTCCTTAGAATATGAACGAGACCACTCCTGCTTCTTCACAATACCATTATCCAAGTCATAACACCACCAACAATAAGTCTATCGACTCCCGGGGGCAGATTTCTGCATAACCTTCATTACCAAATGTACGAAATCTGAATTCAGACTCTTCAAGAAGGCTTTGCAATAAGAACTCTTTCCCCAGGATCATGAAACATACTTAAGACTTGAGCCAAATTTTCAATGGCCTTAAAAATGTTTAATAATAATTGAATTTATCTCTTAATATTGCAGATAAGAACACTTATGTAAAGCAATATTGAAAAAAATATTTTGGTCTGCTTGACTTCTACAACGTTTTAGTACATCAAGATTTTGACTTAAGCTTAAGATCTTTCATGATCCCTAGAATCGGGGCTAAGTCAAACTGCTTGCCAGCGTTGCTCTATTGGTCTAAGTCCTTTGAATTAACTAATGGCAGTGTTGTGGGACAAAGAAATGACATGAATAAGTCCTCTGGTTCTAGTTCTAGCAAACGGCCCTGTTTAAAATTCTGTGCAATTCAGACATTAGACAGCCAATGCTGTAGATGATGTCATTGTGAAACGTTGTTGAATGTGACGCAAACTAATTATGTGACCTTGTGCTGTGGATCTCAAGCGCGATCTGCCATATTTTTGGTGATAATTTGTTAACCATGTAGTTAGTTTCAGTTTTTTAAGGCCAAATATGGTGCTTCGTGATATTTATAATTTGCAACTGTAGACTGAAGTACATGTATATCTGCTTCCAGTCGCCATTTCTTTTTTGGCGTTGTGCATCATTCAGATGCGACATTCCTTTATAACCACATTTTTGTTATCAGTAAAATACTTTAAAAACTTGCTTTTAACTAAATCTCAATTGTTGCTATTATGTTTCAGTTTCATTTCTCATCAGATAGTTAAATTATGATTATAGAAAAAGAGCTTACGATAGGTACTCCCTAACCGGGGATTGTATAACATACGAACGCAAATCGTTATGATTTCCGAATAATAATTAAGTGGTAAAAGTGCATGTTGAATAATAATTGAAAAGTTGTTCAACTTGTAAAAATTGTTTTGAATATGCTACAGCTGAGAATGACACAAGGATAATGTTTTGCATCGCACCGTGCAGCATAGCCTACTCTGCAGAAAATCATTGGCGTCATCAACGGAAGACCTATAGTGATTCTACTGTTTCTTATTAGGTCTTCTGTTTTCAATGGAAGACCTATAGTGATTCTACTGTTTATTATTGCGTGGACCCTGAGGCCCACGCAGAAAATATATAAGTGGGGTAAAACCGGATGCCATGGGCTTATGTCAGGCTACGCATGCGCGAGAACGCTAGAGAGTTCGCCTCTAAGACAACTTGCCCTGAGAACAATTCGCCCTATTCGAATTAGAATCATTGGCAAACCTCGCTCGAAAATCTGCACATCGTATTTAATTATTCTTTGGCGTAACCAAGATCTGAATTTCTCTTTAATACATATATCCTTATATACAAAATAAATTCTATGGTACAAGTATTTTAAATAAGTAGGAAATACTTATATAGATAGCTTTTAAAACAGCTTGAACATGTTGAATTAAAAACTTAATTCAACTACAATTTACCGGCATTAGTTTTATGCACCAAGGTTTGCAAAATAATTTGATAGACAGCAATCCAAATATAGCTTGATAAAGGCCTGTAGCAACGTTTTTCCATTTGGGGGGGGGGGGGGCATCAAAAACAATTCTGCGTACTACAGATCTGTGCTACATGTGTAACTCTATCTTTCCAATGATAGGATATCTTCCGTATAAATTTAGTGCAGATGTCAAATCCCAGCCGTTATGGGTTGCATGTATCGTAGCCCGATTTTTTAATGACAAAACTATAGGCCAATCGGGAATCAAATTTGAAAATTTTGCTATGATTATACAACCACTCAAAGTCACTGTAGAAAATGTTAACGAAAGGTTGACCTGTGTCACCTTTCAGAGTAACCCATGAACTCGTCCATGGATGCATTGACGGTCGTTGTAACAAGAATAGATATGGGTTAATCCATATCGAAGATATTCGACTTTAAATTTACTCAAATATTCAACAGAAAAAAAACTGCACATGTTATGAAACTGGTGTATAGTACTTCGTGTCCGTAGCAAATACCGTCACCAGTCTAAGCGTCACTAGCAAACAGTGCACACACCCACGTGCGATGAGATTGTCAATCGCATCTTCTCAGACCTTCTGGCGAGCTCGGAAAACACGTTGTTTTGCCGAGAAGTTACGATTGCAGGTGTTGTATATTAACCATTCCGTTATTTAAGAGAAAGAGAAAAAAACGCACATAAAATTAATTTTTCTGTGTTTTTGAAATTGATCGAGTTAATCGATTACCTAGCATCGTTTTAGATAGCTCGAGACCCTTCTAGAGCTCCAGTACAGGGTCGAATGCAGCAGATTTTGAAAACGAGGGGAGGGGGGGGGGGTCTAGGTCACACTGCAGGCACTTATATTCAAGTCCGTTGGAACGGTTTTCAAAAGGGGCAACCTCCAAAAAGAGTTGAATTGTTCTCAGGGCTTCGTCTAAACTTTTCGGTACATATTGATTTCTTTTAAATGTTTGATTTTCCGTATTTTGAACCTTCCCGCAACAAAAAGTGTGGGGGAGCTTCCAAATCAAAACTTATATATTCAAATTATAACAACAAATTATTTTTTTTTTGAGAAAAAGTGAGCCCCCTCCCCAACATACTACGGGAACATTTTGGACCTTTCTCTTTATTGTTAAAATATCCCCATAATATAAGGAGAAATTAGAAATATTCTCTTATGCATACTCCCTTTCAAGACTTTTTATGCATGCTTCTTAAAGTTAGTTACTTCAGAAGATGGTCCAAAAATAGCTTTGTACGTTTGCCTGTTCTTCCGATGATATCGAAGTGAAATCTTTCATGTTACGTGTGTGTGGTCGAGGCCCGGGCCGGGGTTGTG